GGGGGATCCCTAGGGAGTACATGCAGAGGACTGGGAAGGGCTAGACATAGACCCACAGGGAATCAGTTATGTTTAAAAATGGAAACTAACTTTTATTTCTTTGCTTTGCAAATAAGTATAATGAAACTACTTTAGACAAATGAGAATCTGTAGGTATGAAAAAAAAAGAAAATAAAAATACCATGTAATTCTGCCATTCGAGTCTGGTCACTGTAAATATTTAGATATGCTCTTCTAGAATAATTTTGGGAGGAGGAAATATAATTATAACTTCATAAAGTATTATTAAAGTATGTACATTTAAAACAATTGTGGTTTTCTTCTTTTGAGACACCCTCATTTTTAGAGGAGGTCTCCAAATTTCAATCCCCCCCAGCCTTCTGAGTTCTGGAATTGCAAATGTGTACAAGCACACACAGTGCATAAACAGGCACATGTATTTTATTGTAAAAGGATCTTGTAATTAAGTTCGCATTAGATTTTAATTCTTAATAGATGTGTTAGGTGCTGCTAAATTGTACCCTGGCTCATTTAGTCATTAAGCAATTGTGTTCTAACATCAGGTGTTGAGTTATTTCCAACTTTTTGTTCTCAAAGACAGCTGAACTGTGTAGCTGGGTGACATATGGAATGCCAGTTAGCATCTCTGTGCTTTTAGGCTCTCATCTGGATAATGAAGCTGATAATAGCACCTGCCTCATAAAGATGCTTTATTAGATGGAATCATATAAATAAAATGTTTAGTACAGTACCTGACTCAGTAATTGTTAACTTTAATCATTAGTTACAGTAGCAATGTTAACAGTAGTTTTAATGAAATCATTATTAAAATAATGGGTTTTCCTTTCAAATATATTTTATTATTATTACTATTATGTGTAGTGTAAATACAGGAATGTATGTTTCCATGGAGCACATATGGAAGACTGAGGACAAATTTTGAAGTTGATTCTCTTGCTCTACCTTGGGTTCTGGGGATTAAGCTAAAGCCATTAGCCTTGTGTCCTATGTGTTTGTCTAAGCTACTGAGCCTTCTTGTGAACCTCAGAATGGGTTTTCTATGACAGTTTCTCTGTTTTTTTTTTTTTTAATCCAGGGAAGACTAATTAGAAACTTTGTTTTTGAGCAGTGAGCTCTAGTCTGGCAGAAGTGTGCACATTTTTTCCTTTTGGTCTGGTTACTTGTTTGGTTACTGACAAAATTTCTGATAGAAGCAACTTAAGAGGACTACTCACAGTTCCAGATATCAGCATGTGGAAGGCATGGTGGCTGGGCATCACTGGCCCACAACATGCAGAGTCCCTCTGGATGAATCAGGAAATAAAGAGCAAGACTAGAAAGAGAGCAGAGCTCAATCCCAAAGCCCACTGCCAGTGTCCTCTATCCGCCAGCTAGGGTCCATGTCCTAAATGTTCATAATCTTCTAAAACAGTCTCACTAGCCAGTGACCAGGTATTCAAACACACAAACACATGAGGGAACATTTCACAATTAAACCATAACACCCGTGGAAGCTCAACTTATTATCAGCAAACAGAGATACAAGCCTCTAGCGCAGAGTGTAATTCTATAGAGCAAATGACATAAGACTTCTGAAGCCCTTAGCACAGTTTTTGACATATGAGAAGCGTATTCAAGGCAAGGTATTACTATGACTGCCACTACTGTCACCAAGGCTGCTACTAAAATTTAACCACTTGTGGCAAGAAAGTTTCCTTGCTTGGTGAGGTGGAGATCCATCAGCCAGGAGAGCATTTTGAGGATTTCTAATCATGGCTTGTGAACAGAAAATGATTTCAGAAGCAAATTGATCAGGGCTCAAACTCGTTTTCCTATGAAAACTAGTTCAGTGACCTTGGTCATAGGAACTTTTTCAAGCTTGTTTCCTTATTTGTAAAATGAGAATGGCATCAGTGCCTGCCTTTCACATGTTGCTGGGAAGCCCAAATAATGTGGTATGTATCTAGTACTTAGTCCACAGCCTCATTTACTTTCTGCTGCATACTATGAGTCGTTGTTGGTTGATATTTCTTTAAATGACTCTGACAATGAATTCTTAGTCCATAAACCCCAAGCTCTTTGAATTTTATCTGAAGGCTTTGAGTATCTAGAGTGTAATGGCCAATTCTGACCCCGGAGCCAATGGACGCTTAAGTGATACCAATCTAAAAGTCTGGAGTGGGCCTGGGTCTGTGTCCCAGTGGTAGAGTGCTTGGGTAACATGTACATGGCCCTGGGTTGCATCCTCAGCACTGAAAAAATAAAAGAGAGAGGGAGAGAGAAGCAGAGACAAAGGCAGAGGGAGAGGCAGAGAGAAAGAGGAAGAGAGAAAGAGGAAGAGAGGGGAGAGAGGGAGAGAAGAAGAGGGAGAGAAGAAGAGGGAGAGAGAGAATTCTGGTAACTATTCTGCCCTTCTATTGTGACCTCATGCCCTCCTTCTAGAATACAGGCTTCACCTTCGTTTATATGAGAGGGATCCTCACTGGGCATGCTCCAGTCTGACATTCTTACCATCTGTTTGAAACCTATCTAGCCTCATGTCGAACCCTAGCTTTGCAGAATGAACACTGGCCACCAGATTTCTCTCTGTCTTTGTCACTGGGGCATACATAGTAGATTTTGAAAGTGCTCATGACTATGGATGGCTATTAAGGTATTTACTTCTCAGCCCCCACCACCCAGTCTCTTCCCACCCTGCTTTACCCATGAACCTTCTTGAGTTTCACGGATGTTACTTCTCTGGATCCTAAATCCCAGTCCTTACCTCTAACACTGAGCCAGTACTTCTTGGTCTGGCCAGCTGCCTTGTCTAGGATCCAGGGTAGCTGTGCCTGGCTGGTTGCAGAGAGCACACATGTTTGATTTCCAGAATGAGGACACTGTCTGGTTCATCTCTTTAGTTGTGACGGTCTCATCTCTTTGGGGTAACCAGAGGTGGGCATGGTGGTGTGAAGCTAGTGGTATTATTGGAGGCAAGGGGCAAAGGGGTGGGACTGCAGAGGCCAAGAGCTAAAGTAGAGCTTCTGGAGGGCTGACAAGGGAAAGGCGGCCAGAGGCAAATGTCAGAGCCTATATAGAGGCAGGAATTTGGGACCTGAGAGCCAGAGCATGCACTAGCAAGTCAAGAGCATTGGGGCGGGTGGGCGGGCCAGCAGGCTGTCTGGCGGGCAAGAGGGGGTGTGTGTGGCAGGGGATAGCTAAGGGAGATTGCAGAGAACAGCTGCTAGTATTGGGCCTTGCTGTAATGAACTGGCACAGGGTAGAAGTCAATTGGTCAGACCAAAAGAGCTACAGTGGAAAGGACACTATGACTCTTTTCTGTCACTGGTAAGGTAAGATCTTTCTGACTTGTGACTCGTGGAAAATTGTGTTACACACAGGGATTAATTGATGGCGAAAGGTGGAATTGCAAGATTGATTTTTTTTGAGGGAGGAGTTCATCTTTCTCATGGCATGAATTATGATTAGGGTAACTGAAGTGTTAGCAGGACTCTAGTATTTCTTTTATGATGCCTTACCTTAGAGTTTCCTAGTCAACGGGAAGAAGTGAATCATTACAGCCAATTAGTGAGGAGTAGGGGGCTGAAGAATTGGATGGGTCTGAGAACCTCTCAAACCACACCAAATGATCAAGTTTCTGTGAGTCTTCACTCTCCCAGTAGAGTGCCAAGAATCTCTGTGTAGATGAGATGTTGCAAGGCAGGTAAAGTGCCTAGCAGAACTACCAGCGAGTGCATGCTCAAGTAATGCTTGCTGTTGGTATTTCTTCTGTTAGTGTCCCAACTGTTATGTAGCACAAAGCCATGAAGATGATGTTTTCTTTGACATTGCCCCAAAGTAGCCAGTCTTCTTTTTTAAGGGCCACGATCAGGCTACAGGGATGCGTTCATCTTACGTGATGTGTCTACATGGGTCTCCAACTTGTGTGTCAGAGCATCCCTTTAGTGGCTGTTTATGGAAACAGGTCAGAGAGGTGAGGCTAATGGGAGTGACCAACCCCTTCTCAGGTCATCAGGGGATCTTGAAATTTCTGCATACTGTAGAATAAGCTGGCAGTGATCTCTAGGCTAGGATGTCAGACAAAGAACTACATGCAACATCAGGGATATGAAAAGACCAAGCAACCTCAGGGAAGGGTGAAGAGGCAAAAGATACAGTACATCACAGTGTTTCTCTTTTAGCTGCAACTCTTGCTAATCTTAGAAAACTGGTACAACAGGCATAATACTACTACTTAAGGTCCAAATAGAACCAGGCTTGCAATATCATGCACATCACAAGCTGTTTAAATTCTGTACAGTTAAAGTTATCTGCCATCCACACACCTACTATGTAAGCAATAAATAGGATTGTAGTGGTGGCTGTTATTAACAATGATAATAATGATGATAATATTAAGCAAGGCTTTGCTTTGTGGAATGCTAGTCCTAGTCATTGATCAGATAAATGTGCTACTTTTTGACATTAATGAGTAACATATTAGTAAAATCTGGGTTAATCCTTTGGTAGGATTCAATAACCATTAGGAACTAATAATTATCATGATCCCTGCCTACCAGTACCTAGGTTGACTTGATTTAGAACATAGGCAAAGAACTTGAACTTCTTGTAATTGGCCAGAAGGTGGTGCTGCTGACTCATTTGATACAGGCCTTCCCTGGCTCTGGACCTCGCTATTGGCATTTGTAAATATGGAAGCTGTGCTGTGTAACCGGGTACAGGCTGGTTTTAAAAAGGACAGAGGTTGGAGAGATAGTTGCTTCAGCTTTGGGGATATCTGTTGCTATATAGTTTCTTCAAACTGCTAGACCCACCTTCAAAGCCATATATACATATATGACAACTCATGAAAACAGAACTCTATGAATCATTGGAATATATTTCTGAAATTGGCTTTTGACCTTTAAACTTTTCTCTTGTTTACAGATTTCATTGATTTGTGGATTTCATCAGTGCCTCTAATGTCAACACATTAGAGTCTACAACCCTGCCCAGTAGCCATGGCAGATATGTCAATACATTCATTACGATTCAACAATATGATGAAGGAGGAAAATAGTGACCCTCAAAATAGGGGGGCAACTTTCTCTAGATCAATGACAGAGACCAGAGCGGAGGTTCAAATCCTGCATTCACAGTTGCAGTTGCCTATTGTCTCAACTTCAGCTTCAGATCTCGAAGGGACATCAACACAGATGATGACATCGCCAGCCTTTGACAGTCTGTCCACACCTCTCATGGGAGCATCACACTCTGGGACATTGTCCCCACCACTGATGTCAGCCTCAGACTCTGGGACACTTTCCCCACTGCTAATGCCAGCCTCAGATTCGGGAACACTGTCCCCACTTCTAATGCCAGTCTCAGACTCTGGAACACTGTCTCCACTGCTAATGCCAGCCTCAGATTCAGGAACACTGTCCCCACTATTGTCTACTTCAGACTATGGGTTAATGTCCCCAGGGATGATGTCAATTCCTGACTTTGGGACAATGTCAACATCACTAATGGCAGCCCCAGATTCTGCAGAGATATCACCATTGGCGATGCCAATTCCGTCCTCTGGAGTGATATCTGCACCTATAATGAGCACTCCATCCTCTGAGGCATCGTTAATGCTAGGATCAGATCCTGGTGAGATATCCCCACTCCTGATTCCAGATATGAATCCTGGAGTGACATCCACACCACCAATGACAGCTCCAGGCTCAGAAGCAATGTCCCCATTGCAAATTACAGATGAGGACACAGAAGCAATGTCCAAAGTGCTGATGACTGCTCTAGCTTCTGGAGAGATATCATCACTGCTAATGTCAGGCACAGACTCTGAAGTGTTATCTTCTCTGATAATGTCAGCCCTAGCTTCTGGAGAAACATCAACCCAGCCAACAAATCCTCAAGACTCTGAAGGGATACCCACTGCGCTCATGTCAAACTCGGACTCTGGAGTCATGTCTTCACTGCCAATGCCAGTTTCTGGCTCTGGTGCAATGCCTGCACCACTCCTGTCAATCCCGGATGCTGGAGAAATAGCCACTTTACCAAAGCCAATCCCAGATGCTGAGTCAATGTCCCCACTGTTAATGACAGCCCTCACCTCTACAGTGATGCCCAGTCAACTGATGTCAGCATCTGGTTCTGGAGTGATGTCCCCAGATACAACACAAAATATCAACTCTGAGGTCATGTCTGCTCCACCAATAAGAGGTGCAGCCACTGGATTGATGTCCACACTACCCGTGAGAGCTTCTGATACAACGGCAACACCAATACAGCTAATGAGAGTCCCTGCCTCTGGAAATATGTCTACATCACAAAAGACAGTTCCAGTCTCTGGATCAATGTCCACTCCATTGATGGCTGCCTCAAGCTCTGGAGCAATGCTCACAGAACAAATGTCAAGAACAGCCTCAAGTATGATGTCTACACATTTAACAATGCCCCAAACACCTGGAACGATGCCCATAGGTTTTATGAAGGCCACATCAAATGGAGCCGTTTCTGCACAGCAAATGAGATGTTCAGCTTCTGGGATGATGTCTACACAGCCAGTTATAGCTACAGCCTCTGAAATAATGCCTGTGTCACAATCAACAGTCCCAACCTCTGGGTCAGTATCCACACAGAAAACTCGAGCTCCTATCTCTGGACCAATGTCTACAACACAAATAAGAACCACAGCCTCAGGGTTGACATCTACACCACAAATGAGAGCCGCAGCCTCTGGAACAGTGTCTATCCCACTAATGACAGCCAAAACCTCTGGATCAGCATCCACACCGTTAATGAGAGACACAGCCTCAGGAGTGATATCCGTGCCACAGATGAGAGCTCCAGGCTCTGGAGCATTGTCCAAGCCACTAATGACATCCAAAGCTTCTGGAATGTTCATGCAGCAAATGACAACTGCAGCTTTTGGAGCAATGCCTACATCATTAATGCGAGACACAGCTTCTGGGGGTCTGTCCATGCCACAGATGACAGATACAGCCTCAGGAGGAATGTCTACACTGCTAACAAGAGCCACAGCTTCTGGAGCAACGTCTACATCACAGATGACAGCCACCACCTCTGGAGTCATGTCCATGCCTCAAACAAGACTCTCAGGTCCTGGAGCAACATCCATATCACTAATGAGAGCCACAGTCTCTGAGAAGATGCCTAGTCAGCCCAGGATCATTCAAGATTCTGGAGGGGTGTCCACACCGCTCATGAGACCTGTTACCTTAGGAGGGATGCAAATGAGATCCCAGGGTGCTGGAACAATGTCCACACCCCTATTGAGAGCCTCGGACTCATCAGAGATGTCTATATTGCTCACAAAAGCCCCATCTTCTGGAGAGCAGCCTTTGCTATTAATAAGACCTACAGCTTCTGGAGAGATAGATCCACCTCCGAGAACTCCAGTTTATGGGACAATATCTGCTTCACACATGACAACCACAGCCTCAGGAATGATGACCATGCCACCGTTGAAGGCTTCTGTCCCTGCATCAGAATCAACAACTCTCCTGAGACCCACAGATTCAGGAGTGATGTCCATACCACTGATGCGAACACCAGCTTCTAGAGCAAAGTCCAGACCACAAATGATGGCCACAGCTTGTGGAGACATGTGCCCACTCCCAGTGCAAGGTCCAGCCACCGCAGGGATCTCTCCATCACCAGTCAGATCACCAGCCTCTTCGACTGTGTCTACACCACTTAGGAGCCCCTCTGATGGAGCTGTGACTGCAGAGTTAGAGAGAGTTCTAGGCCCTGCACAATTGGCAGCTATGACCTCGGGAGAGATGTCCAAGCCACTGATGAGGGCTTCAGCCCCTGGAACCATGCCCATGTCTTTGATGTCCCCCATGACTTCTGGAGAGATGTCTATGCCACTAATGAAAACCATGCCTTCTGGGAAAATGTCAACTCTACAAACCAAAGTCATGAGCTCTAGAGCTACATCCTTACCACAGCCAATAAATACAGCGTCTGGGGGAGTAGCTAATCCCCCACTGAGAGCCCCAGCCTCTGGAGCAGTGTCTACACCACTTATGAGAGTCTCGGGCTCAGGAATGATGTCCACGCCACTATTGAGGGCTACAGCCTCAGGTGGAATGTCCGTGCCACAGATGGCAGCTCCAACCTCTGGAGATATGTCCTCACCATTAATGAGGGCCCCAGCACCTGGAATAATGTCCACTCCACAAACAGCCTTTGGAATGACACCCACTCTGAATGTCAAAACCACAGACTCGGGAGAGGCATCTACCTCTCACACCAGAGTCACAGCCCCTGGATCAAAGAGCACACCGCACATGACCAGCACAGCCCCTGAAATGAAGACCCCACCACCAAAGGAAGTGCCGTCCTTTGGTATGTTGACCCCAGCACTCTGTTACCTCTTAGAAGAGCAAGAAGCAGCCCGGGGCTCATCCTCTGTGGAGGAAGATGCAGAGGAGATTGATGAGGAGAAACAAATGAAGGCGTTTTTAGATGATTCTGAGAAAATGGCATTTCTGGTGTCTCTTCATCTAGGGGCAGCAGAGAGGTGGTCAGTCTTGCAGATGGAGGTAGGAAATCCCATCTCCAGTGAAAATAAAGCTTTCTTGAGAAGATCGCAGGGCTTATATGACTCCCTGTCTGAGATAGACATCCTGAGTGCTGTTCTTTGCCATCCGAAGCAGGGCAAAAAGTCAGTAAGGCAGTATGCCACTGACTTCCTGCTGCTGGCCCGACATTTGTCTTGGTCTGATGCCATTCTACGGACCAGGTTTCTGGAAGGACTCTCAGAAGCTGTTACCACCAAAATGGGCCGTATCTTCCTAAAGGTGGCCGGCAGCCTAAAGGAGCTGATAGATAGGTCTCTGTACACTGAGTGCCAGCTGGCTGAAGAGAGGGATTCCTCAGGCAACTCAAGCCGAGTTGTGCCAACATCCTGTAAGCGGAACAATGAGGAGGCCATGGAGAATGAACTGGGCTCTCAGCAGCAGACTGAGGAGGTAACCAGGGGGATATATGCTCATGGTTTCTAAGTAGAAAAGTGAGGAAGTAGTGATGAGGGGTTAACACCCATAGTTTTTCAAGTAGAGTTAAGGAAGAGGCAAGAAGAAGGTACTGAGTTCCTAGATCATAAGAGTCCAGTGTGGGATTCTACCAGTAAGTATGGGTATGAAGTTATTTTGCTTCTATTAGCCATTTTCAGAAACAATGTCTGATTCAGGGTACTGAAGGAGCTTCAGGTCATATGGAAACAGTAGACTCAATCGCAACTCTCTGTTTATTGCAAATCCAGTTCTAAGACAGAGAGAGATTCTTCTTTTATAGACTGAGTTCTACTTATAGTCACATGTGTTGTAGAAGCGAAGCACAAGGAGACTTAATTAGCACTTGGCCACACTTTTTACACAGCTGATAAATTACCCAGTTTTTTTTTTTTTTACTTCGTTGCTTACTGAACTTAATCAGATACATGTCTTTGGTCATAGGAAGTATACACTTCTTATTTATGCCTTTCCCCCCTTTCTTACAGCACCAGCACGTTCCCAAACGCTGTTACTACTTGAAAGAACATGGAGATCCCCAGGAAAGTCTTCATGACCACCTTCGGCAGAGTGCAGGCCTTCCAAAGACCCCTACTAACAAGTAGTACTCCTTGGAGTCTTATGTGATTTCTGATTTGGCTGCTAACTTGAGGACTGGTTCCTGGACCCATTCCATTCAACTACATCATAAAAACTTGTTGCCTTCACCCTCCAGCCTTCCCCTCCAGGCACATCCCACTTTATCTCCCTTTTGGTTGCCTTGACATTTTCTTTCACCTACATGCCTGTGACCTGCCCTGACAATCAGTGTGGACAATATGAATGTATGGTGTATGAGGTTCTGAACTCCCATCATGATCATTAAGGCCAGTTCCAATTCTTGGTCTAGGGAGAAGTCTAGGCAGGAGAACTCATGCCCTACCTCAAAACACCTTAGAGTGTCTTGCCATGTGTCATCAGGCAAACTTGAGGAAACCCTGGTACTATTCCATCTGGCAGGGGAGCCTATAAAGAGAGAGATACCCACTCCTATACCATCCTTTCAAAGTAGACTTGCCCTTGTATGCCCCAATTCATAGTATCTAAATGGGTCTCCAGGGCCTGTGCCCTCTTTATAGTCTCCACCCTAAACCATTTGTTTTGACCCATGATATTAATAGTAGTGATAGTAATGGCTAACCATGTGGTGTTGGTACTTGCCATGTGATTGTTGGTAATGTGCCATGTGACAGTTACTGGGTTAAACCTTTGACAAACACCATCTCACTACAGTGTTATAGTAACCTAACTTGTTCTTGTGTTGTTAGCTTCTGATCTCTTGATCTGTTGCTTATGGCCCTTGTTCTTCAGTGTGGAATCTCTAGCTATGACCTCTGGGTGATCCCCTCAGTTGTTACCCTTTGCTCCCCTTGGCTGTTGTGCTTCATGGCCAACACTCTTCATAAGGGCCTTGGTGTCTAAACAGGTGTAGGTAGTTAGAACATAATATGAACAGTATTTGCCTTCAGGTGGTGGGTTATGGGTATTTTTTTATTTTCTTTTTATTGTTCTCTGTACTTTCCAGATTCACCACAGTAAGCATGTATTACATTTGTTATCATAAAAATAAAGGTTATTTGTGAAAAATGAATTAAGTGTAGCCATTAGAATTTGATTTGTTGAGTTCTTTAATATTTTAACCTTTATTTATTTTGTGTGTTTGTGTGTGGAGGAGAAATCGGCTTGCACAGTGTGGACGTAGAGGCAAGAAGATAATTTTGGGGAGTTAGTTCTCTTTTTCTATCATGTAGATGTTGGGTATCCGACTCAGGCTTGGGACACAAGTTCTTGCCTTCTTGCTATCTTTCAAACTCTTGAGTTCTTTCCAGTGTTGGCCACTGTTTGGATGACAGGTAAGACCTTTTCTCATATTAAAATTCCATGCAAATTAAGGTAGCAGAGAAACAACAAGCAAGACCACATTTAAAAAGATACAGATATAATAGCTTGAAGACAAGAAATAGGAAAATGAGAAAATTGATATAAATAGTACCAATTTATTTGTGCAATAGTAATCAGTGTAAAGGTATTTTAGAAATAGAAGGACTGATAAAACATTCAACATTGAAACATTTTATAATGCTAGATTGGTTACAGTTTGGAGGCAAGATCGAAGAAGGGTTCAGAGGCAGCTGGGTCCCCTGATACAATAGTCTAGGAGATTGGTTGGCTGAATGATCTATTGTGGTGGAGGAAACACCAAGGACAGAACCCAAAGCCTCTTTGAATCTGCTGCTCTATTATCCTAAACATTGGATCTAATTCCAGGAAGATGGGAACTTATTCTCAGGAAAAGCAAAGAATGTCATACATTTTGGTAGGTCCCTTCCCCCCACTCACCCCCAGTACTGTACGTGAGAATCTGGCTCTAGGGCTGCCTCAATTACTATTGCTGTTGCCTCAAGGCCAAAAAGGGCATAGTACGTTGGGCAATTCAAACTCCAGGCAGGGAAACAACCAGCCACAGGGGACCCAGCTTTCACTCTCATTTCTTTGCCCACATCTGGCTCACATCTGGCTCAGTCCAGACCCAAGTGGGTGCAGATACTCATGTTCATCCCAGGGTTGCTTTTATCAAAGAAAAGCAAGCAAAAATCTACTGAAAAGAAATATATGATATACAAGTCACAGCCCATGCCTGTAAAATGCATACAGGATGGAAAAATGTCTTCAAAATGAAACTCATTTTCTTATGGCCACGATAATGGACAGCAAAGGCAATTCTTCAGTTCTATCCCCAGCCACTCATCTTCCTTTTGCTTTTTTCTTCTCTCTAGAGAGAAATGGAACTGATGAAGGCCAATCACACTCTGTCAGAGCTTAGTCCCTTGTCCGCCCACCCTAACAGCTATATTTAGAAATGTTTCGTGAGAGCTAGGCTATCACATACCCAAGTACTTGGGACCATTTTGTCAACTGAAAAAAAAGGTGGGTCATGTTTTTCCACTCCTCACTAGCCCATGGGTAAAAATAAGGTCCCATAACGAAGGAGAACTCAGACATTATCGACCCCTGCACTCACCTGTGTGTCACAGAACTACTGTTCCTTGAGAAATTTCTGAAGTTCCTTGGGGGTGGATACTAATAGAATTACATTGCTTGTTGTTCTTTGACTGATAAGTTGACTGCCTTGTGGAGATCAGCTGGCTGTATGAGCATGTAGGGTAGCCACTTGACCCCACTTCAGCTGCACAAGGGAAAACAAAAGCCTGGAGCTGGGGACCTGGATTCTGGGACACAACAATTCGAGGATTAAACAGTGGTGGCCTCCAGTTATCATTTGGATCTGAAATGACCCTTAAATATGGGCTATGTTGAAAACCTGGTCAGCAGCTGTTAGCACCATTTCAGGAGGAACTGGAAACTTTAGAGGTAGGGTTATATAGGAGGAAGTAGGCCAGTAGAAACTCTATCTCACTTTGGATGCTTCTGGTCTGTCTCTGCTTCTTGAGTATCATGAGTTGAACAAATTGGCTCTACCACACCTTTCTGACATGATGTTTATGTTATTTTTATCTAGTGATCTGTGTTAGTTTGGGTTTTATTGCTGTGAAGAGACACCATGGCCATGGCAACTCTTATAAAGGACAACATTTAACTGGGGCTAAATAATTATTATCATTACGGTGGGTATCATGGCAGTGTCCAGGCAAGCATGATGCTGGAGGAGGTGAGAGTCCTACATCTTGTTCTGAAGGCAGCTAGGAGACAACGGACTTCCAGGAAGCTAGGAGGAAGGTCTCAAAGCTCACTTCCACAGTGAAACAGTTCCTCCAACAAGGTCACACCACCTAAATATTACTACTCCCTGAACCAAGCACATTTAAACCACAGTAGGATCAGTGGACTGAATCCTCTGAAACCATGAGCCAAAGTAAATCTTTGTTCATTTTGAGTTATTTACGCCAAGTGCTTTAAGATGACAAAGAAAAGTCGAAAACAACTTCTTTGGACAGTTTTGGCTTTATGTGTTTGTGAAGAAACCACCATCAACTTTGAGAATCAGGTGGCCACACTGATCCTATTTTATAGGCTAGAAACATGAGGCACAGAAAAATTATACTTATCTGACTTTTCTTTGTCACTTTCTATTGCTGTGAAGAGACATCATGACCTCAGAAAGCCTTATAAAAAACCATTTAACTGGAGCTGGCTTATAGTTTCAGATCTTTAACCCACAGCGCACAGGCAGACATGGTTCTGGAGAAGTAGCTGAGAGTTCTCCATTTTGATTTTCAGGTAGCAGGCAGAGACACTGGGACTTTTGAAACTTTAATACTGATCTGCTCTCATGACATACTTCCTCCAGCAAGGCCACACCTCCTTGGTCCAAAGCTACTGAGCAAAGAAAGCCCCAAAGGGCGTGGATTTGAATTTGTGAAATCTGTCCCCAGATCCCTTTGCAAATGAACTACTATACATACAGCTTTGTTATTTTTAGCCTGATGGTCCCTCTGAAGACTCACTGAACAAGTGTGGTGTTGAACATCAGCCAATATTGGAAGATTATATAATAATAATAATCTAAATAAAAGTATGCCTGCTTCCCCTTTTCCCCTAACATGGATCTAGATATTTTTCTCTCTATTTGGGGAACATCTTCAACATTCAAAGGAACAGAATGAATCATCATGGAATGCCATTAGCCCCAGGAGTTTGTGTGCAGTCTGGTGTAGCCTCAGGGTAAGGAGCTACAGGTCTGAGCTATGAGCTGTGAAGGAAGGTAAAATATTCCTCCAGGCACTTTCTCATTGACCAGAAGTAAGTCTTGGGCCCAGAACTCTGCAGGTAGAAGAGATTCTGATGGTTATATAAAGTGCTGACTTTCCTTGGCATTTTCACTTTTCCCTCATTAAAGGGGGTACGCAAATAAGGAAAAAAACGTTATGAATTTTTTAGACACCCTGTATTTCTGCCTTCCAATACTACCCTCCACCTATGGATAGTTATTCTGGTTCTCACATTGGAGGAGAATACACACACTGAAAAGTCCCCAGATTCCATTACATCAAGGAGATATAGTCTATAACCTAGGATTTTTTTTTTCTGATAAAAATTCAAAGTAATGCTGAACTAACTAGGGGAAAACACAGTGGAGCCTGAATTAAGTAAAGAAAATCTGTAGGGGCAACTCACAGAAGCAGTGCCTTAACCCTATTTCAATAAGTTCTCAATCCCTTCTAGAGCCAGTATGGTACAGTGAGGAGAGAGTTTGGCTGACTCACCAAGAGACACTTATTTACACAACAACAAGGAGAAAACTGTGACTTCTATTTCTATACACATGGCTCTACTAGCCATCAAGAGTCAGAATGAAACAAAGGTGTTTTACCCTTTAAGAAAACATGTGGACTAGGCTGGGGAGAAGGTTCCAGAAGTGAAGTGCTTACTTACTGTGTAAGTTTGGTGACTCAAGTTTGAGTCCTAGAAACCATGGTAGAAAGGGTGAATCAACTCTCAGAAATTGTCCCCTGACCTCCACTTATGCACCATGGCCTGTGCATGTGTGCTTGCATACACCCACATACCCCAAATACAATAAAACTTTGAAAACACAGACTGCTGTGTGCATTGCTGTATAGTCTTCAAGCACAGGCCATGCTA